TAAATAAATAAATAATATTTGAATTAATTCTGGTATATCCAAGTCATCTCAAAGTTATTTTTAAAGCAAATTATAGATAAATCTCTAAAGCCTGAGAATGATTTAATCAAAAGAGCACAATTGCTAACCCTCAGCTGTTTTTGCTTCAGTTCTTGCTCTTCCAACTGAATTTGTTCTTCTACGTCGTCTTCAAAGGTCTGTTTCCTTTCTCTAATATCAGCTTTAATGGGCCTAATTAGAAACACAAAGTTATTTAACACGCAAATCACAATGTGTAAATATTTTACACTTAGTGTGCCTGGTATGGAAACCCTAGACTACAGGGAGAACTAACCTTTCCCAAAACCAGTGCCTCCCTTTAAGAATCTAACTAAAGCCACAATCCTTCTCCACCCCTTAAATACAGGAGTGTACAACACTCTTCACATGACTTGTGAGTCCTAAGAAAGCTTCTGAAGTCTATCTATTGACTACAGATTAACATATGGAATAGCATATTCATCAAATAACTTTAAAATTTATTTCAAAAGTAGATCACTAAATATACATATTTTTTAATTAAGAAAGGCCTTTAACAATGTGAGTAGAGCAATTATCAGAAGAGTCCTTTTGTTCATATCATAACTAATACATTAAAAATATTGAAATATATTTTTAAATAATCAACCTATTTAAAAGATAAAATACTTTATCTTTGCCATATTTTAAAATTCTGTAACTGATCTAATTATGCAATCATAATTGATAAGTGACCAAATGGGAGATCCCAATACTTAATTTTTCCCTTCTCCAAAAGTAGGATTTAACTATTTGAGAGAAGATTCATTTTATCCAGATGTTTCTTTTAAGTGAAAAAGCTTTGGCAATACAATGTCAAAGCAACTTTAACTGACATATCTCCCCAACCTCCTTTGTTGTTGACAATACCTAATAGGTTGTATCTTTAACCTTGTATTTAGAAGCATAGTCAAGCAAAAACAAGAAAAGTATAGCTCTGTCAAACAAGGAAACTGTTCAATAACAAAGGCCAGCTATTGTATTAAATAGCATATTTCTCATTCCTTTCAACATGAACAATAGCTTTCTTCAATATTAGCCACTTCTGAACAATCGTCATCTCTCCCTGAATCTGTTCTATCATTTTCTTCCAATATGATGAAATACCTTCTCCTAAGATAAAAATTAGGAACAATTTTTCTCAAGAAAAACAGATTCATGTCTTAAAACATGAGAATTTTACAAGTTACTGTGCTAAAAACTTTTTAAATTAAAACTAATGTATGTCAACGATTTTACGACACTCAAGGAATTCTTTAACGCTTAAGATAAACTACAAAACTCCAATTAAGACACTTGAGACCGGTTGAGGTGGATCAAACCTATAATCCCAGCACTCTGGGAGGCCTAGGAGGGAGAATTGCTTGAGGCCAGGAATTCGAGACTAGCCTGGCCAACATGTCCAAACCCCATCTCTACAAAATACAAAAATTAGCCAGGCATGTTGGTGCATGCCTGTAATCCCAGCTAGTTGGGAGGCTAAAAGACAAGAATCGCTTGAACCTGGGAGGCAGAGGCTGCAGTAAGCTGAGATGGTGCCACTGCATTCCAACCTAGGAGACAGAGCAAGACCCTGTCTCAAAAATTAAATCAAATTAAATAAAGACACTTGACATTTCTTCAAAAGGTTAATGTTATGAGAAAGAAAAAAAAATGTGGGCTTTTCCGGTAATAAAAAGACTAAAAAGTTGTAAGAATCAAACAACTCATAACTTGACTGGATATGCATGAATTTAATTAGATCCTTTAAAAACAAAGCACCTTTAAAAGACATTTTGGAATAATTTCAGGAATTCCAAAATGAACTTGAAAATTAAGGAATTATTAATTTCCTTAGGTATAATAATAACATTGTGGTTATACAGATGAATGTCCTTATTTTTACTTGATGCATACTGAAATATTTGGAATGAAGTAACAAGATACCTTAATATTATTTTCAGTAAAATGGTTCAGCAAATTATATACAGAGGTAAAAATAAGGATATACATGTAGATATATACACACATACATATATACATAAACTGACAAAGTAAATACAGCAAAATATTGACTGCTGAATCTAGGTATTGGGTATATCAGTAATCACCTCAGGGGTCTTTCAACTTTTCTGGATGTTTGAAATTTTCCAAAATAAAAGGCTAGGGAAGCATATTGTGTAAAAAAGAAGAAAAACATATTTGAGCTTTCTACACCAAGGAATTAACTCTAAATTAGGAACAAGGCATTATGGCTGGGTGCAATGGCTCAAATCTGTAATCTCAGCACTTTGGGAAGCCAAGGCAGGCAGATCACTTGAGGCCAAGAGTTTGAGACCAGCCAGGCCAACATGGTGAAATCCCATCTCTACTAAAATTACACAAAATTATCTGAGCATGGTGGTGCATACCTGTAATCCCAGCTACTCAGGAGGCTGAGACATGAAAATCACTTGAACCCTGGAGGCAGAGGTTGCAGTGAGCTGAGATCATGCCACTGCACACCAGGCTGCGCCAAAGATTAAGATTCTGTCTCCAAAAAAAGCCACAGGGGACACACACACACACACACACACACACACACACACACACACACAGAAAGGTGTTCTCTTATCTTAGGACAACTTAGTAGAGAAGTAGTTTGTTTCTCTCTTCTGTGCAAGTTAAGAAGAGAGAAACATAAGTTGATCACTTGTAGGATGGTTACTATTTTCTTCTTTTGAATTTTTTTTTTCCACAGGTGCTTCTTGATACTGTGCCTCAGAAAATAAATTAGAAGAAGCACTTTTTGAAGTTAAGACAATATCTTCATGAGCTGTTCTACAGAAGTTGCCTTGCTCATGGGATAAAATGTCAGAGGCGTATGTTTCTTCCTGGGCTGGGTCTGGGTAGATGTATGATGGGAAGCAACATGGGCTCTCTCTCTGGTGGTGGCATTTCCTGGATATCTGTGCTTCCGACTCTGATCATCAGGCAGTAAACTCAAACCTTACATTAAGACAAGCAACAAAGCTGATGACTTACTTCAACATTTTCTCTTTTCTCCCCAGGAGTGACCCCACCCCACAAAGGCTTCTCTGCAGTGACAAAAGCATTTTTTCTCTTTATTAGGAAATGGTGTTTAACAAAATCATGATACATTTATTTTTTATTCATTCATTCATTCATTTTTTGTTTGAGACAGTCTTGCTGTGTCATCCAGACTGGAGCATAATGGCGCAATCTCAGCTCACTGCAACTTCCACCTCTTGGGTTCAAGCTATTCTCGTGCCTCAGCCTCCTGAGTAGCTAGGATTATAGGCATGCACCACTATGTCTGGCTAATTTTTTTATATTTTTAGTAGAGACGGGATTTCATCATGTTGCCCAGGCTGGTCTTGAACTCCTGAGCTAAGGCAATCTGCCCACCTCGGCCTCCCAAAGTGTTAGGATTACAGGCATAAGCCACCACACCCAGCCAAAGTCATGACACTTTTAATTTCCAAAGTGACCTTCACATAGCTTTAAGTAAGAGTATATTTAGACACTGCTTCTGTGCAGTGTGGGTACTGCAGAGGTGCAGCTGCCCAACTCCTGTTCCACATGTGAGAACATGCAGGTGTCAACTCTGCAGCCCTGCAGTCAGCACGTCAGACCTGGAACATCCACCCAGTGATGCCAGTGACCTGAGCTATTCTCTAGTTACCAAATCTGCCCTTTAGATTATCCTTAAAATTTTGGTATCATTGGTTGATGGAATTAAGGCTGACTTTTTCTTTTTGCATGATCTCGGCTCACCACAACCAAACCTCCCCGGTTCAAGTAATTCTCCTGCCTCAGCCACCTGAGTAGCTAGGACTACAGGTGCCTGCCACCATGCCCAGCTAATTTTTATATTTTTAGTAGAGATGGAGTTTCACCATGTTGGCCAGGCTGGTGTTGAACTCCTGACCTCCAGTGATCCGCCCACCTCAGCCTCCCTAAATACTGGGATTACAGGCATGAGCCACTGCGCCCAGCCAAGAGTTGACACCTTTTCATTGCTGGTCTGATGGCAGCAGTATCTGCTCTATCCAGAGAGGACATATTAGGTGCAGTGGCTCACACCTGTAATCCCAGCATTTTGGGACACTGAGTGGACCATTTGAGCCCAGGCATGGTGGCATGTACCTGCAGCCCTAGCTACTTGGAACGCTGAGGCAGGAGGATCACTTGAGCCCAGGAGTTTAAAGTTATGATCGCACCACTATACTCCAGCCTGGGTAATAGAGTGAAGCCCCCAACTCTTAAAAAGAAAAAAGAGAGAGAGAGAGAGAACATAAGTGCTAGCCTAGCCAAGGGATGATCTCCAAGCCCATGTCATCCAGGCCAGAAAGGAGAATTCTAACAGGTTGGGAAGATGCACAGATGCACGGGTCTGGCCTTTAGGCAAACCCAAGAAAAACCGCACCTTACTTTACCTGTAGGAAGAGTGAAGGAGTTCTTCACCAAGGCCTGAAGCCTCAGATTTCTAGAATTAATTCAGTAAAGAAGTTTCTAACAACAATTTTGGGTGCCAAGAGACATTTTTTTAATCTCGGCATTTTAATACAGGTAAATTTATTGCTGGTACATTGGACTTATAACAAAAGATCCTGGAAACCTAATGAGTCTATACAACAAAGGGATTATCACTTCCATTGCATTCTAGAATGCCTGACCAATGATGTTGAATAGACAGTAAAGTATTTCTAGCTTGAATCTTTGATGTGACAATGGCAGAGCAATACCGTTAATAGTTGTTATACCTGTATTTTTGCTGTCTTCAAAAATAATTACATAGCAGTTGGATGGTTCTTCAAGAATTCTATAGGTTTTTATTACACATTTTTTTAGATGGGATGACTCTATCACTCAGGCTGGAGGGCAGCAGCACAATCACAACTCACTGTAGCCTCAACCACCAGGTCACAAGCGGTCCTCCCGCCTCAGCCTCCCAGCTAGCTGAGACCACAAGCATGTGCCCTACACCTGCCAAATTTTTGTATGTTTTGTAGAGATGGGATTTCGCCATGTTGCCCAGGTTGGTGTTGAACTCCTGGACTCAAGCAATCCACTTGCCTCAGCCTCCCAAAGTGCTGGGATTATAGGCATGAGTCACTGCACCTGGCCTCTCCATCATTTCTGCAGGATAGTTTTGACAGATACAGAATTCATGGTTACCAGTTTGCTTGTTTTCTTTCAGCACTTTATATCACTCCACTGCCTTCTGGCTGCCGTGGTAATAGATTGGCTGTTAATCTTATGGAAGGTCCTTTGTATGTAGTGATCATTCTGTCTAGCTGCTTTTAAGCTTCTTTGTCTTTGGCTTTCAACCATTTGATTATTAATATAATGCTATCGTGGACTGTTTGAATTTATCATACTTAAAGTTCTTGGGCTTCTTGGAAGTGTTACATTATGTCTTTTATCAAATTGGAGACTTTGGAGCCACTGTTTCTTCAGATACTCTTCCAGCCCCTTTACCCTCTTATTTCTTTCTGGGACTCCCATTATGCATATGCTGGTACACTTGATGGTGTCCACAAATCTTCTGGACTTTGATCTTTATTCTTTTACTTTATGCTCCTCAGATTTAATAATTTCAGTTGTTTTATCTTCCTTCTTTTACCTGCTTAAATCTACTGTTGAGCATCACTTGTGAATTTTTCATTTAAGTTATTGTACTTTAGTTCTTTTTCTTTTCTTTTTTTAGAGACAAGGTGTTGCTCTGTCACCCAGGCTGGAGTACAGGAGTGCAATCATAGCTCACTGCAGCCGTGAACTCCTGGGCTCAAGAGATCCTCCTGCCTTAGCCTTCTGAGTAGCTAGGACCACAGGCATGCACCACCATGCCCAGTCAATTTCATAATTTTTCTGTAGAGATGGGGTCTCGCTATGTTGCCAAGGCAAACTCTTGGCCTCAAGCGATCCTCCTGCTGCGGCCTCCCAAGGCGCTACGTTTAGAGGCGTGAGCCACCATGCCTCATCCTATTGCGCTTTTTAACTACACAATTTCCCTTAGGTTCTTTTTAGTTCCAAAGTGTCTGTTTGGTTCCTTTTATAATTTCTATCTCTTTATTAATATTCTTTGTTTTTTAAATAACTTCATGTTAGATTCAGAGGGTACACTGCAGGTTTGTTGCCTAAGTATAATTCATGGTGCTGAGGTTTGGGGTATGATTGAGCCCCTCACCCAGGTACTGAGCATAGTACCCAATAGTTTTTCAACCCTTGCCCCCCTGCCTCCCTCCCTCCCCATCTAGTAGTCCCCAGTGTCTGTTGTTGCTATCTTTATGTCCATGAGTACCCAGTGTTTAGCTCCCACTTACAATGACAACACGCAGTATTTGGTTTTCCTGTTCCTTCATTGATTCACTTAGGACAATGGCCTCCATTTGCATCCATATTGCTTTAAAGGACATTATTTCATTCTTTTTATGGCTTCATAGTATCCCATGTTGCATATCTACCACATTTTCTTTAGCCAATCCATTGTTGATGGGCACCTAGGTTGCTTCCGTGTCTTTATTGTGAATAGTGCTGTGACAAACATACTAGTGCATGTGTCTTTTTGGTAGAATGAGTTCTTTTCTTTTGAGTGTGTGCCCAGTAATGGGATTCCTGGGTCAAATGGCAATTCTGTTTTCAGTTCCTTGAGAAATCTCCAAACTGCTTTCCACAGTGGTTGAACTAATTTACATTCTCGCTGACAGTGTATAAGCATTTCCTTTTTAACGCAACCTTGCCAGCATCTGTTGTTTCTTGACTTTTTAATAATAACTGTTCTGACTGGTGCAAGATGGTATCTCACTGTGGTTTTGATTTGCACTTCTCTGATGATTAGTGATGCTGAGCTTTTTTCATGTTTGTTGATCATTTGTACATCTTCTATTGCATATTCTCTATTTGTTGAGACATTGTTCTCCTGGTTCTCTTTCAGTTCTTTTTCTATATTTCCTTTCACTTTCTGTCCACGCTTAAGTAAAGTATTTGTCTAATAATTCCTGTCTGTGCTTCCTCGACTCAGGGACAGTTTCTGTTCTTTTTTTCCTCTGAATTGGCCATTTTTTTTTTTTGCATGCCTCATAATTTTTTGTTGAAGATTGGACATTTTGAGCATTATAATGTGGTAACTCTGGGAATCAGTTTCTCTCCTCCCCAGAATCTCTTGCTGTTTCTTAACCCTATAGAGTAGGTTGCAATGATGAAAATGGGTAAATTACCTTGTCCACAATCCCCTTGGTAATAAATTGTGGAGTCAGGATTCAACGCCATACCATTTCCACTGTATTCTCTACTCTGTCCTTTCTAGTCTCATTTTATTCAGTATCCTAAATATCCGAATCTTCCCCATCGCTTTACTCCCATTTCAGTGAATCTCAGATCTGTATCTCCAGCCCCCGCCTCTCTTGAATGGCAGAGGAGTATATTTCCAACTACTTACAAACACTATCACGAATTTCAAACTCAGGCAGGTTTAAAGTAAATTTATCTTACTGTCCTGTCTCCCCGAATTTTCCCGAAATTTTCTTCTTTCCTGTCCTTAGGAATCCCTTCCATTTCTCAGTTAAAGGACAGGACCATCCACCCACCTCTCCCAAAGCCGAGCTTTTGGATTTATCCTCGCTGCCCAAATCCCTCCTGAAATATGAAAGCGAAACCAACTCCTGAACCCTCCGGCTGATCTTGGGAGACAAACGCCCGCCGGAGGCGGGGTGCCCCTCCCCACCTGGCGGACCGGATTTCAGGCGCGTCCTGGCGACCGTCCCCGCTAGGGACGCCGCGCTCGCCGGGTGCGGGGCGGGGTTCCGGCCGCAGTGGCACCCGCCCAGCCCCCGGTCAGGGAGCGCCTAGAATCCGGAAGTGCCGAGAGCTAGCCGCGCCGAATCGGGGAGCGCCGGGAGGCGGCCGGGTCCTCTGGCAGGTGCGTGGGCCCCGCGGGGTGGGGGGCCGCCAGGGGTCCCTGTAGTTCTGGCCAGGAAGTGGCCCGCGCGCCCCGCGCGGCGCCTTCCCCGCCCGCGGCTGCGCCCTCGGCCCGCGCGGCATCGGCGCTGTAGGCCTGACCCGGCTGCGGGGCGCGGGGTGGGCGCGGGGTGGGCGCGGGGTGGGCGCGGGGTGGGCGCGGGGTGGGCGCGGGGTGGGCGCGGTGGTGCAGCCCGCGCCCTCGGGGACGGATGTCGCGGTGGTTCCGCTCTGCCCCGCGGTGCACCCAGGTGACGAGAAACTGGGTGGGGTGGGGGGCGCCCACCGGAGCCGGCACTCACACCTGCGTCTCCGGACCCCTTGCCGTGCTCAAGAAAATGAGCTATTAGCAGTGGAAATCGGTGTTCCTTGTTTCCAGAATGCCAAACGGCTTTCTTTCCTAAAGAAAGAAGGTGGTTTGGTGAATAATCGGGATTATCTGACCTTGTGAGTCACTGGGAACACAGTGATAGAAGCAAAGTTGAAAACCTCTAACTCACTTAAATAATTCCTGCGGGGAGGGCCGAATGATTCACCCAGGGATCGAGTTGGTAGATCTCGGCTTCCAGAAAACCAAGGCGCTGCCAAATATTCAAGCCCAAGCACTTTAGATTCTGGACTGCTGAATGACAATAATTATATGACAATATCCAGGCATAGTGTTATGATAAAGCGGAAACTCGCTCTCAGTATATGCGTCATTTGACTTGATCATTTATTAAATAAACAGTTATTAGGTCCTGTCTGTGTGCGTAGAGCTGCTTAATGCCACGTAGGAGTGGAATCAAACTAGTACCTTTGTTGTTTAGGGGTTTAATAATCCTATCAGGAAGGTGCATTACTGATGCCATTTGAGTCCAAAACGCACATAGTGTCAGAAGGCTTTCTGTAATCCTGGGCTTTGATTGATGCATGAAACAGTTTTTAGTAAGCAAGCTTTTATTGAATGCCCCCTGTATATCAAAAGTGATCTTAGTCTTCGGTGACTCATTTCGGAAGGTGGAGGCTCTAGAATCAGGACTGCCCAGAAAGGGACTCCTCGGGGTTTTCCAAGAGGAGGAAATGCTAGTGGGGCAAAGACCTGTGAAGCAGGAAGCCACCTGATTCCACCTAGCCAATGGTTTATAGATAGAGCAGCCAGGAGTTTGTAAGGAGGCCTGCTGAGGCGTCTTGGGAACTGGGGCTGGGCCCTGCTATCTTTGAATGGAAGACACTCCGTGAATGTTGTTTTGGGAAGAAGCTGGGAAGGGGGACAAGCTGGAGTGACCGTGCAGATTTGCCTTAGAGGACAACCAGCCCCTAGCCCGGTGTCTGCCACGGTTCATGTGTAGGTAATTGGCGCTGATGAAAATGTGAACTAACTCTGTGTTTAGAGAACACTTTGAAACAAGGAAGAACTGGTGGCACATGTCGGTTAGGAAGCTGTTAACCCAGACGGAGCCTGACATTTTAGAGAGCATAGAGACGAATCTGTGGAAAGAGAGAAGTCAAGGCGTGACTTGAGATTTCACAAAACCCAAAGTGTGTCTTTCCATACCTCCCACGGAGCCGCAGGTGCTAAGAACAGCCCAGAGATTTATGTTTAAAGTGTTTGTACTCTGGCCCAGGCACCACAGCTCAGACCTGTAACCCCAGCACTCCGGGAGGCTGAGGCAGGAGGATTGCTTTGGCCCAGGACTTGGTGACCAGCCTGGACAACATAGTAGACCCTATCTGTACAAAAATTAGCTGGGCGTGGTGGTGCAGGCCTGTGGTCCCAGCTACTAAGGAGGCTGAGGTGAGAGGATCGCTGGGAGAGAGGTTGAGGTTGCTGTGAGCTGTGACAGTGACTGCACCACTGTACTCCAGCCTGGGAGACAGAGCCAGACCAAGTCCCAAATAAAATAAAATGTGTATGCTTTGATTTCACAACTAAAATGGTTAAGATGGTAAATTTTACCTTCTGCACATTTTACCACAATTTTTTAAAGGCTAAAAAAATGTTTATACTCCTTGATTCAGTAATTCCACTTCTGGCCATCTACTTTAAGAAAACAATGACAGAGATTTGGCCAAAAAATATATGTGCAAACATTCTATTCCAAGTGTATTTCTAATAGTGAACACTTTTAAATAATGAACTATCTGATGACTTGGGGAAGGATGAAATCAATGCAAAGCTTATGTAACCACTAAAAATACCTTCAAAGCATATTTAGTGGCATGGGAAGCACATCATTAAAAGCTAAATAAGCTGTGAAGATGAAAGTTCTATTTTTTAAAAAGTTAAGAGCAACTGTCTATAGCATTAAATATAGAATGTTAATAATTTAGAAAATAGAATGATACAAGAAAGAAGAATACCAGAAAAAATTATTAAAATATCAACAGTGGGGGCTGGGTGCAGCAGCTCACGCCTGTAATCCCAGCACTTTGGGAGGCAAAGGTGGGTGGATAACTTGAGCTCAGAAGTTGGAGACCATCCTGGCCAACATGGTGAAACCCCGTCTCTACTAAAAGTACAAAACTTAACTGGACGTGGTGGTGTGTGCCTGTAGTCCCAGCTACTCAGAGGCTGAGGCATGAGATTACTTGAACCTGGGAGGCAGAAGGTTGTGGTGAGCTAAGATCATGCCACTGCACTCCAGCCTGGGTGACAGAGCAAGACTGGCTCAAAACACAAAAATCAACAGTAGGGTGTTTTTTAAAAACAACTTTATTCACCATAATATGTACAACTATTATGTATCCAAAAAATGCTATTTAAAAAATGTATTGGGGTACAATTTACATACCATTAAATTCACCAGTTTTAATTGTACAATTCAATAACTTTTTTTTTTTTGAGATAGGGTCTCTATCGCCCAGGCTAGAGTACAGTGGCATGATCACAGCTCACTGTAGCCTGGACCTCCCAGGCTCAAGTGATCCTCCCACGTCTCCTGAGTAGCAGGGACCACAGGTGTGTGCCACCACACCCAACTAATTTTTTTATTTTTTGTAGAGATGGGGTTTCGCCATGTTGGCCAGGCTAGCCTCAAACTCCTGGGTTCAACTGACACACTCTGCTTGGTCTCCCAGAGAGCTAGGGTTACAGGCATGCACCACATTGTCTGGCCCAGTTCAAAATTTTTAATAATTTACCAAATTGTGCACCATCATTGCAGTCTAGTTTTGAACATTTCCATCATTTTAGGTGCTTTTTATTTTTTCTTCATAGTGATTAACTTTTTTTTTTTTTTTTGGGGGGGACGGAGTTTCACTCTCATTACCCAGGCTGGAGTGCAATGGCGTGATCTCGGCTCACCGCAACCTCCGCCTCCTGGGTTCAGGCAATTCTCCTGCCTCAGCTTCCTGAGTAGCTGGGATTACAGGCACACGCCACCATGCCCAGCTAATGTTTTGTATTTTTAGTAGAGACGGGGTTTCACCGTGTTGACCAGCATGGTCTCGATCTCTTGACCTCGTGATCCACCCGCCTCGGCCTCCCAAAGTGCTAGGATTACAGGCTTGAGCCACCGCGCCCGGGTGATTAACTTTTAACATGAAAAATATTGTTCAAACTTTGATTTGGTAGTTCTACTTAAGTATTATTTTCTAAGATGGTTGTAGGAGATGCAAACAAGGGCTTGCAATGTAAGGATGTTTATCATAGCTTTTTATGATACCAAAAATTCGAAATGATTTAATTTTCCAACAATAAATCATTTACGGTCCCTATCTGATAGCCTCTATTAAAAATGTTTTCCAATAATATTTAATGACAAAAGATAAGATGCTGACTGATAATAGCAGGATAGGTATTATGTGTGTAGTGTGATTTCAATTTTGATTAAAAAAAATATATAGTCTGTGGCTGAGCATGGTGGCTCATACCTGTAATCCCAGCACTTTGGGAGGCCAAGGCATGCAGATCACTTGAGGTTGGGAGTTTGAGACCAGCCTGGCCAACATGGTGAAACCCCATCTCTAGCAACAATATAAAAATTAGTCAGGCATGGTGGTGGGCACCTGTAATCCCAGCTACTTGGGAGGCTGAAGCAAGAGAATCACTTGAACCCAGGAGGCGGAGGTTGCAGTGAGTCAAGATCGTGCCACTGCACTCCAGCCTGGGTGACAAGAGTGAAACTCTGTCTCAAAAACAAACAAACAAAATATATATACATATTATATCTATACACACATATATATATAGTCTGTTATAATACATAGACCTAGAAAAAAGCCCGGAAGAAGAACATAAAACAAGATGCTAACATAGCCCTAGGTTTTGAGATTATTATTATTATTTTTTTGCTGCTATACGGTTCTGTATTTTTCAAATTTTTCAATAG